CCAGGGGGCGGGGCTGGCTGGCATGTGCTGGGGGATTGAACTGCGGTCCCTGTGCTTTGCTAAGCTTGTTCTATGTAGGTGCTTTAGACCACTGAGCCATCTCACCAGCCCCTGTCTTGGCTTTTAGTAATAGTTGTAGTATATGTATTCTGACTCCACTCTTTTTTTGAGATGGGGCTTGCTATACAATTCAGGGTGGCTTTGGACTCGAGGTGATCCTCCTGCCTCAGCCTTCTGAGTGTGGGGATAACAGGCGTGGACCATCATGTCCAGCTCTGACTCCAGTTTTAATATCCCATATAACATCCCAAGCAAGAATGAAAGGGCCCAAGAGCAGAGACTTAGTTGTCTTCACACTGCATTTCATCTGGAAAAGGCAGAGCTTCCTAGGAAGTCCTCAGCGGAATTAGTCTTCTTAGCTGGGCTTGGGTCACGTGGCTACAGCTGGCAGGCAGAGAACCTGGGAAAGTGACTAGTTTCTTCTGATTCGGGACAGAAGGCAACAGTGTTGGAGAGGTTCGGTTCGGGAAGGTCTCTTAGTGAGCCAGTAACTTTCGCCAGGGTACTGGGCATAGCATGACTGCTGCTTTCCCTGAGCATCCAAGAGAGAAATCAGGAGGCCTAGGGTGTGGGAAGAGCTGGTGGCACAGTGACCTGCGTGTGTGCCCGCCACGGTTTTGTTGGCTTTTGGGCTGTGGGTGTCTTGGGACAACTATGCAGACTTGGGATGGCAAGAGTGGTGAGAGTGGGGCTGGAGAGATGGCTCAGTGGTCTAAAGCACCTACTTGGAACAAGCTTGGCAAAGCACAGGGACCGCGGTTCAATCCCCCAGCACCACATGCCAGCCAGCCCCGCCCCCAGGTGGGCTGAGCTGGCCACACACACACACACAGACACACACACAAACTAAAAAAAATGTAATAAATAAAAAAATAAAAGAAATATTAAAAAAAATTAAAAAAATATTATTAAAAAAAAAAAAGAGTGGTGAGAGTGGTCGCAGTTCGCATTATCCTCTGGTGACTTCCTTGATTGTTCCCCTTTCAGTCGCCTTTAGAAGAAGCCCGCCACTCTGCACAGAATACTAAGCTTCTGCCAAAGACAAAATGACTCATTTATACCCACAGCCAATTGAGAGTTTTTGAGATTCAGCAAAACGTTTTAAAACAAAATGTCCTTTGTTTGGTTATTTTTCAACCTTGTAGAATTAGAGTGAGTGCCATTGTGCGGCGTCCATCTGTCAGGGGTGCTGGGGGGCGCGGGGGACTGAGCACAAGGCTCGTCTTTCTTTCCGGCGGGGAGTTCCTTTGGTTAAGTGGCTGCGAGCGCCTCCCGCTTGTCTCTTCCCACGTTTTCAGTGCACCAGCATAGCCGCGTCTCGGAAATGGCTGGCTCTGGGCAGCTCAGGAGGAGGAGTGAACCTCATTCAGAAGGAAGGCTGGAAGCACAGGCTTCTTCTATCCCACCGGGTAAGATGGAAGGGAGCCCCGTCACGGGCCTCTCAGAGTCTCGTTCGTAAATACGAGTTTCGCCAGGGTAATTCATTATTTAGAATAAAAGAAGGTTGTAAAGCTTGGGATTCTAAAAGCATTCTTCCTTTTGTGCCCCAGGAAGGCGCAATCGCTCAGGTTGCCTGTTGTTCACATGATGATAATTACGTTGCGGTAGCTACCAGGTGAGAAATAGTTTTCAAACTATGTGACCTTTTCTGAAGACATTTTCAGCTGGCCAGTATGTTGTTAGGGTGAGCAGTCACCTCGATTTGCCAGTGCTGTCCCTGTGTTAGCACCGAAGGTCCTGTGCCCGGGAAGCCTCTCAGGCCATGGCCACCCAGTGCGGGCAGCTGGTCATCCCAGTGTTCGTGAAGAATGCTAATTTGAGGCCACAATTCAAAGTCCTTAAAAAAGAAAGGGACCGGAGATAATCTGGACCGTTAAGTTCTCCTATTACTCTGGTTTGGTGACTCAGTACAAAGCAATTAATACCTTAACTTTCACTTCCTTTTTTTCTGAAGAGGAAGTGTTTCCGTATGTAGGTAATATAGTTGATGTTCTACCGTTACATCTTATCCTTCTTACCACTGCCACAAATTTGTTTTTGTGACTCAACTTTGCAGTCAAGGTCTTGTGGTCATTTGGGAATTAAATCAGGAGCATCGTGGGAAGCCGGAGCGAATTTATGTGTCTTCAGAACACAAAGGCCGAAAGGTTACGGCTCTCTGCTGGGACACAGCTATTCTTAGAGTGTTCATAGGTGACCACGCGGGGAAGGTCTCTGCCATCAAACTCAATACTTCTAAACAAACAAAGGTGAGAGCCACTCTAGTGCCCTGTCAATACGGTGAGCTATTAGGCATTGTCTTACAGTATTTGGGATTACAGGGTGCAGTTTTATTTATTTTTTGTGTATTTTAGTACAAGTACTACAGGGTCTCACAGATTGTAGTGATCCTCCTGTTTTTATCCTCCCAAGCCCTGGGATTGCAGATGCCTCCGCCATACCCAGTCTCGATCACGGTCTCAGCAGTGCCTGGGGAGCTGGGCTGGTACAGTAGCTACTATTATCTATAAGATTCATTAAAAAAAGATTCATTTAAGTAAAATATTTTGTAATATAGGGCTTTTTTTTTTTTTCTAGAACCGGGGATTGAACTCACGCCCTTGCACTTGCCAGGGAAGCGCGTATTCCACTGAGTCATCTCCCCGGCCCCAGTATAGGGCTATTAACAAAAAATAGATACCTGTTTACTGTTAGTATAAATAAAATCCCTTAAAACTGGGTGTGGTGGCATGTGGTTGTAATCCCAGCTCTACAGAGACTGAGACAGGAGGATCACTACGAGTAGAGCTGTGCAGTGAGACCCTGTACCAAGTAAGTAAGTAA